CGTCATGCACTCATTATTTTTGAGGGGGCACGAGTTGGGGGAGGTCGTCATGTGACACACAGCAGCCACAACAGCACGTTTTATTTATTTTTTCCTGTTTATTCGAAACATTCCCAAACGCATTAACTTAATTATTATGAAATATCTTGATTCTCTCCTTGATCTATGATGGTCAAAGTAACCTAATAATGTAATCTATTAACTATGCATAAAAACCTGTCTGTTTACTTAATTAACAGATATGGGTGTCATGCCATAACATATTTTTAATACGACTGAGTTTATATTTAATGTGAATTAAACATTGAAATTTAATGTGAATAAAAACTTTGCAAGTTAGGCTATTAATCATAACACTTTCATTGTACAGAAAGAGAGCAAAGAACATTTACGTTATCAAAGAACATTTTCACTGACAGTCTAGTTCAAGCACTCTCAAAAACTCCCATTAAAAGCACCGAAGCTGTTTACACTATGAAATGAATATCTTACAGATTCGTACAAACATTTGCACTTTGTTGTTTCTGACGAGAGAATTCGCCAGAAAGAGGTATTCAGTCAGGGTTAGCGAGCGAAGAAAACACGGCATTTTAGCGATGACTCATCTGAACAACTCTGATTGGTCATTGCATTCATAAGCTCAACAGCATAGTGTGTGATTGGTTATAATGCACAGTGCTGTAAAACGCGGCGAACTGCAGATTTGAATCTAACAGCTGATGATATAACGCGCTGAATGTTCTAATCAGGCTGGTGTGATTGTATTAAATATAGAAAATACTAATCAGCTATTTTTTTTGTCTTTTGGAAGCTGCATTCAAAATTCACTTGGCTCAAAAATCTGAGGGGGCACGTGCCCCCTCACTTTGAATGGGCATGACGCCTTTCCTTCGAAGTCATACACTGATCGGTCTGTGCAGCGCCGCTTCAAATCCAGCGCGCCTATGGCCAATGGTTCAACGCGCCAAATGATTCACCCAATTCGTTCAAAACGTGCATTAAGAAATGAAATGCCGCTGTGTGTTGCTCGGAGACGAATAGTTCTGCTTTGTCTTTGTATTTTCGTTGGCAAAATTGAGCAAAACAGACAACATTGTGTCTAAAATATCACAATATTAACTTCTTACTTACTGAACTGTTGTATAAGATCAGCATCACATTTGCATTTATGTGATATTGGACTGCTCATGTGATATTGCTTAAAGCTGCAGTCCGTAACTTTTTTTGGTTAAAAATGATCCGAAATCAATATTTGAGCAAGTACATAACCAGCCAGTGTTCGAAACTATAGCCTTACTTTAGCCCGATTCACAAATAACAGACAGCAGGAATATTAGACTGCTGTCACTCTAAGAGCTGCCTGGATCCAATATACTGTTACACGTATTAAGACCTAAATTACTGTGTTTACGAGGATACTTGCAAAGACGAGCATTTCGACACATACAAGAGTGTGTATTTAACAGTTCAAATCCTATAAAGTGGCAAAAATAACTCATACTCCCGTTCAATATTTAACGGTTCAAATCCTATAAAGTGGCAAAAATAACTCATACTCCCGTTCAATATTTAACGGTTCAAATCCTATAAAGTGGCAAAAATAACTCATACTCCCGTTCAATACTCCTGCGCTCTATGAGCACCGTCTTCATGTGTATTAAGCATATCAAGGTTCTGTAGACATTCATGACACTTTATTTGGACAAACACACATATATTAATTCATGATTTGAACATTAAACCCATTGACATCCTGTACATGCATATGCCATCTGAGCTGTTAGAATGCTGACTGGAATGAGTCCACTTCATTAAAACATGTTATTCACTCTGTTTGTGACTCCCATGTACAAGCCCTAGACAGACAACCAGTGCTCTCACTTACGTGCAAAACCTCTATTAAATAAACGTGACAAAATTTAACATTACCTGTCAGATTGCACTAAAACATTGCATAAATACTTTTTTGCTCTGCAAAAAAAGCTATAAAATCAGTGAAATGAACAATATAATGACAGATCTAAAACTGATCCATCACCCAAATACGTTGATGGTATCACTATTCTCGATATTTCAATGAAAATATAGGAACGGCTGAAATATAGCGTTAACAAATGTGAAATGAGCTTAAATGACATCTCTGCTTCACTGTATGTCTTATACGTTCACCTTTTAAGACTCTCACCTATCATACATATTATTTACATAATATTTGATCTCCCTTCCAATGAAGTCCTCATGACGAGGGCAATAAAGAGGTCATCTGTTAGGATGATCACATCTCTTTTGTTAGATTGTAGAATCCTCGATGCCCCTGGCAAAGAGACGAACCAGCTGGCCATGAACTCTGTAGAGAGAGAGTCATATCAGGAAACATTCAAATGAGAAGATGCTAAATTTTTGGTTTCAAACTCCTAAACTTCTACTTGATGTCATAAATCAAATTTCATATGATTTGCTTACTTCATTGGAGCCAGATAATAAACAGGTAAAGTTCTGTTCAAATGACTGGGGTCGGAAAAATGTGTTTTATTGTTTTTAAAAGAAATCTCTCTTGCTCACCAAGCCAAGGCTGCATTTATTTGATAAAAAATACAGTAAAACACATTAATATTGTGAAATATTTTTACAATTTATAATTAGTGTTTTCTATTTGATTGTTGGGGTGGGCTAATATGACCAAAATCTTATATCACAATACGAGTAATTTTATTTCATTGTAAAGATATATATCACAATATAGTTATTTTTGCTTTAAATAAGGTTTTTATTATATCAAAATTTTTGATAGCATAGAAATTTCATAATTCTTGTCACCTGTGTCAATATCACAAAAAAAAACTAGTAATAAACAGTCAGCGATTAAATAAGAAATGAATTACAAGCAATAGGACAAAAAAGAACAGTAGAACAAATAAAGAAGAAATTATACATACATTGTATAAAGTAATCAAATATAAAACACTGCATATTCTTCCCTGTGTAAATTAAATATAGATTTCTTCTTATTAAAGTTACAAAAGTGATTTAGTCAAGAGCAGTGAGAGATTTTCTCTCTTTTGTTGTTTGATTAACATAAATAACAGACAGCAGGAATATTAGACTGCTGTCACTCTAAGAGCTGCCCAGATACAATATACTGTTACACGTGTTTTTTTTCCCTCAGCTGTTTGCTTTTCATTTCATGTGTGCGCGCATCTCATAAACAGTCTCTCTGACAGCGCGTGCATATAGCAAAATGAGTTTGATTTCATTGCTGATTGCATTTCAACGGCTTAAAATAACTTGTTTTTAAACTGCAATGCTTAAAACGCGTGCTAACCATACGCTTTCATGACCACGTAGCACAGCAGCATCATGTGAGCATGTAACCGCGATAGAGTCGATAGTCAAAAATCTCTACCGGTTAATCGTGTCTACCGGTATATCGCCCACCCCATTTGACTGCATTTTAAAATAGACTGCATTTATTCCTGTGATGCAAAGCAGAATTACTCCAGTCTTCAGTGTCACATGATCTTTGATCTTTAATTTGATGTTCAATTATTATTGATGCTTCAAAAGAACAGCATTTTAAAATGTTTTAAATAGAAATCTTTTGTAACATTACAAATGTCTAATCAATTTAATTCATCCTTACTGAAAAAATGAATTTCTTTAAAAAAAAAAACCTCTTTCTAAGATTTTTTTTAAGATTAACAAGATTTTAGAGCCTGACATCTTCAAATCTTACGTTAAACTTTTGAATGGTAATATGTGATTACTATATATTAATAGCAGGATTGAGTTTTTTCATGTAAATTGCTACTGAGTAACTGGATTAAAATGACATAAATTGACTTTTTTTTTTTTGCATGTTAGCTATGCTTCTCCAATTAAATAGCTCAGACTTGCTCAGCAGACTGATCTTAATACCTGCATGAGATCTTGGTGTGAGGTAGAATTTCTCCATCGCAGTTCCACACTGATATCGAGCGAGGTTTAGTGCAGCAAGGCCCACACACGAAGCCTCGTCTCTTTACTCTACTCGCTGTCACATTTCCTCTCTCCTTCCTCCCTGCAAGATGCTGCTGTGAGTGACCTGCAGCGTTACTACTGCTCAGTTTCTCAGGATCCTCCAGTACTCTCAGCGGAGGCCTGCATTTCTCGATCACCCTCCTCATACTCCTCCTCCTCCTCTTCTTCTCCAGGGGGTAGAGAAAACCAAACAGCCTTGACACGATGAACTTCAACAAAGGGCAGGTCAAACTGAAAGTATAGAAGTTTTGTGTGTCTGACTGATTTAACTTTTAGCTGAGTTAGTGTTCTTGAATGTCATTTGGTTTTACCTGATCCTGTGTGTTTGTGTGCCTGTGAAGATACGTGAGAAAGCCCAGAGGGTTTGTTTCTCGCACCAGGATGAGGTCTGCCGTCCCGTCGGCCAAGTGAGTGGATGGCGAAAGACCCTTTGGGCTCCGTGGACATGAGCTTGAAATACAGGCGAGAGAGATACACTTGAACCTGCCTTCACTTTACTCTACTCGCTGTCACATTTCCTCTCTCCTTCCTCCCTGCAAGATGCTGCTGTGAGTGACCTGCAGCGTTACTACTGCTCAGTTTCTCAGGATCCTCCAGTACTCTCAGCGGAGGCCTGCATTTCTCGATCACCCTCCTCATACTCCTCCTCCTCCTCTTCTTCTCCAGGGGGTAGAGAAAACCAAACAGCCTTGACACGATGAACTTCAACAAAGGGCAGGTCAAACTGAAAGTATAGAAGTTTTGTGTGTCTGACTGATTTAACTTTTAGCTGAGTTAGTGTTCTTGAATGTCATTTGGTTTTACCTGATCCTGTGTGTTTGTGTGCCTGTGAAGATACGTGAGAAAGCCCAGAGGGTTTGTTTCTCGCACCAGGATGAGGTCTGCCGTCCCGTCGGCCAAGTGAGCGGATGGCGAAAGACCCTTTGGGCTCCGTGGACATGAGCTTGAAATACAGGCGAGAGAGATACACTTGAGCCTGCCTTCAACAGTCACCCACTCACCTGAGATAAAAACAATAATTAAAGGTTCAAGGTTAAAAGGTTCCTAAAATCATTTAATCAGTAATTCTAGTCTACATCATAACTGCATGATGCCTTTGTACTGTAGGTCTACCCAAGCACAATTGGGTACTTACATGACAACGGTCAAATACAGACATACAACATATGAACCCCATAGAGACACGCAGCACAGTGTGATCCCAGTAATAGGTCTCTAATGAGATGATGACACAGACAATCATTATACAAACAGACAGCAGATGGTCTTACCCTCCAACTCACTGCTGTATTGGCTCACATTAGTGCTGTAGAGGGAACTGGAGCTGTCAAAGTGGGGGAACAGCCTCTCTTTGCTCTCTGAACATACTCTGCACCTGCAGTTACACACGCAAACATGCTTTTAAACATTTGTTGGAGCTGTAAAAACCAAGACGTTGTGTAATAGCTGGTCAGAGTTATCCGTGAGGACTGCCATTCTCAATAGTGGTTATTTGGCTGATGCAAGACCCCACAAAGTATGTAATTTAAATCCTGCTATCTTTGCTCATGGGCATGTATTTCCACATACAGGTTAAAAAAATAAAAACAAATAAAAGATAAATGAATTAGTATAAAACATTAATACATTAAAAATATAAATAAACAAACATAATATTTTTTAATTTACATTTTCATTGATTTTTAATGTATTATTTAATTGTTACTTTTATTTTTAAATGTAATTTTTATTTTCGTTATTAATTCATATTACTATTATTATTGCTTCTACAGTTTATTAAATAAATGTAAAACATAATTAATGTCATAATTATATAGGCAATTTTACAGACATTAGGCACTTGTGAGTGTTAAGAAAGTATAAATAATATTAGTATAAAATAGTATTCAGTACATTAAAAAAATTATAAATAAAAATGTATTTATAAATATATATTTTTATAA